CCCCCCCCCAAAAAAAAACAACTTTGCTTTGTACCACATGCCCATCTAAAAAATAATGAAATAAAAAGATTAAACTTCTCTTTGGCCTCAGAAGTCAGAATTAGAAACAATGGATAGAAGTTAAAGAGAAGCAAATTTAGTACAGTAAAAGGTAATTCTTTGAAACAACTAAACAATCCACAATTAAAATGGGTAGCTTCATGGAATAGTGATTCCCTTACCACTCAAGATCTCACAGAAGAGAGTGGATAACCTGTTTGGGGGATGTTGTAGAGGGCATTATTATTATTATAAAGCAATAGGGATTAAGTGACTTGCCTAGGGTCACACAGCTAGTAAATGTCAAGTGTCTCAGGCCAGATTTTAACTCAGGTTCTCCTGACTCTAGGGTCAATAACCTATCTACTGCACCACCTACCTGCCCCAAGGGCACTATTATTGACATTCAATTTAGACTATATGACTTCTAAAGATTTCTTTCCACTTGAAATTCTGTAGTTCTCTAAGGAGCATGACCATTAGCCCGATGATAGTCAACGGTGGATCCAACCTCATATGATGCTATTCAACAATAGTTCTTTTATCCTTAGTAGGTAATGCCTATAATGAAACACCTCCATCATATTTGGTACTCATTGTATTTTGATGGTAGTTGTAAGTCCCATGATGCATTCTGGATGTCTCACTCATTCCTCCTGTAATAAATTACATAGAGATGAACAATTTGCACACATCATTGCTACATGCCTGTTTAGTGAGGCAATTTTTTTTAAATCAAAACTTTCCTCAGAATTGAAATGAAAATATAGGAAAAAAGTGAACATTGTAAAGCTTTGCATATCATTATTGATTTTTCTTGTCAGAGTAATTGTTACTTACTTGATGTTATTCACCAATCTATTCATTAGAAAGTCCCAAACAAGTAATCACAACTGAAAGGGCTAGGAGTTGAGTAGACAAATGAGGGATGCCAAAGATTTATTCATGACATGGCTATCCTTTTTCACTGCTGATGTTGTTGGCATTCAACATGACCTTACTGCCTGGATTCCCATCATATGACATTGCTGGGCAAATTAATTTGAACACCCATAAATACCAAGAGACTGAAAGTGTGATCAAGCAATGCAGATGTTACAGCTGCAGCTATAGCTGGCCTTTAAGTAATAACAATGTGACCTTTTGCTTTAGTAGGCATTGACAATATTAAAATCCTGTCCCAGTTAGTCAGTAAACATGAATTATTAAAGTCCCATATAATAACCAGGTCAGCTGTGTTCATCAGGGCATTTTTAATACTACCATACAGAAGTGAAGATTGCTTAAATTTGATTTGATGGCCCTGAATGGTGAAAAGCATTACAGGTAATTTTTTAAAGGCTTCTCAGATATAACATGAATAGCTTCATTAAGTCCCAAGTTGATAGGCTTGTTAAACTTTTCAAAGCTGATTGAGCTGCTTTTATCATCATTTAGTGGAAAGTCTAGTAGTTTGGAACACCTTCACAAAAAGGATGTCACAGCAGACAGGCAGTCTCTCAAGTCAGTTGACCTTACACTGGTTAACTGCCCAAGATGTTAGCTAGCATCTGCAAGTATAGAGGCTTGGGGAAACCCAACTGCCAAACTAAGCAGATTTACACATAAATCCTACTGCACTGAGAAGGCAAAGATTCAGCTCTCAGTCAGACTGAATGTGTTCATTTTATCTGCCATTTTTTGATTCTGCAATTTGCCTTAGGAAAGCTAGCCTGGCCAGAGCACCCTCTCAGTGCTTAGAGAATTAAAAGTAGTTTTAATCTTTCATCTTCTCATATGACTACTTGTGTCAATGATGTGTTTAGGTGGTCCAAGCTGTGCCATGCTAGGTAAAAACTAACATGGAAAATATGGTAGTGGTAATTCAGACTTGAAAAAAATCTATATTTAAGTAGTAAGAAAATTAAAAAAATAATAACAGTACCAACAACTACAATTAACATCTATATGGTGCTTTAGTGTTTGTAAAGTGCTTTACATATATTGTCTCATTTAACTTACATGATACCCCTGTGAGATAGGTGTCATTATTATTTCTAATTTACAGATTAATAAACCAAGGACAAGAGGTTAAATGGTTTTCCCAAGGTCATATAGCTAGTAAATGTTCCAGGAAAAATTGAAGCCCAAGTTTTCCTGATTTCAAGTGCAGAATTCTATCCACTAAACCACTTAGGTCAGAGACATATGTAAAGAAAACATAGAAGATATTATGGTGTGACATCAATGATTTTATGAATTGATTTCTTAGATTTTTCATAAACCAGATCAACAGAATCATGGAATTGTAGCACCATAATCACAAATTGGAAGAGATCCTATCGGCCACCTGAGACAAACTGTGCAACCCATAGCATGAAAAATACTTCAAAATACAAACACATGCTGATCTGGTGACAAATTTAGTTAATGATACTTGAAGAGAATTAGTCATCAAAATAAAACAAATAGACAAACAAAAACAACCAGGAAAAGGTTTTCTTGGAATCATTAACTTCTCACATTATTTAAAAAGAAAAAAATAAATAGCATACTTATGAGGTTGTTTAAGAGATGATTAACACTAACTATTGTACACACATATGTGTATAGGCACACATACACATACACACATACATATACATGTATATTACAAATACACATATGCATATAACTGAATGTATCTTGCATACACACATATGTGTATTTAACCAGTCATTCATGTGGCGTTATAGACAGTAGGCATGTCTGTATATCTAGGTGTTATATGTATATGTGTATACACACACACACACACACAAATATATATATATATATATATATAAACATATATCACATCAATGACTCTGGTATATAGCTATAGCTATTGTTGTATAGATAACATTAAAGATGCATTAAATACATGTAAATGTGTTCTGTATATATATATATACATATGAATGTATGTCCATTTTTATATGTATAAATTAACACTTTAATTATCATAATTGTTAATTAATGACCGGTGCATCTGAAAAAGTGGAACTTATAAAATTAAAGAATGTTAGATTCTGAAGGGTCTTTAAGAATAAATCTCATCTAAACTGTTGATTCTACACAGGTAGAAACTGAATGATATGTCCAAATGACTTAGGTCTAGTAATTCTCAGTTAAGCATTCTTTCTATTTGGCTACCAATTATTTTTCAAGAATTTTGTGTAATCAATGAAAAGAGTTCAAAAGAATAATCTCTGGAAGAAAATCACTATATCAATAAAAAATGTTGTTGCATTATTTTTTAGAATGTCTGACTCTGGGACTCCATTTGGGGTTTTCTTGGCAAAGATACTGGAGTGGTTCATCATTTCCTTCTCCAGCTTATTTTACAGATGAGAAAACTGAGGCAAACAGGGTTAAGTGACTTGTCCAGAGTCACACAGTTAATAAACATCTGAGGACAGATTTAAAATCACAAAAATGAGTCTTCCTGATTCTAGGTCCAGCACACTATCACTGCACCACCTATCTACTCATTTAATCAAAGCATGTTTCTACAATGTATTCCAGGATAGATTTACAATTTCTTGAGTAAAGCAAGAGTTTCACTGTTATCTTTGGATCCAATCTTTAGTTTCCTCCCTGTCACATAGTGAATGCTTTTCTTTTATACAGTACACTGTCTGGAATATAATATGTGCTAATAAATCCTTTGAGACTTTATTGATTCATTGTTTCATCAAAGTTTTTTTTTAGTTAAATTGAGTTCTTAATATCGGAGTACAAGTTCTTGAAGATTCTACCAAACTATCAACAGAAGACTGACCACTAAGTAACCAAGTCTTGATTTTTTTTTTGAAGCTATACCAAATTGTGGCACTTTGGAAATAAGGTAAACGATATTAAAAATGCATTAAGACTTCAGTCAACTACCACTAGGTCTGTAGCCCAAAGAGATCATAGAAAAGAAATAAGGCCCTACATGTGCAAAAATATTTATAGCAGCCCTATTCATGGTGGCAAAATATTGGAAGTTGGGGGGATGCCCATTAATTGGGGAATGTCTGAACAAGCTGTGGTAAATGAATGTAATGGAATATTATTGTGCGGTAAGAAATGATGAACAGGAACCTTTCAGAAAAACCTGGAAAGACTTGTACAAACTGATGCAAAGTGAAATGAGCATAACTGAGAAAATGTTGCACACAGTTTCAGCAACACCATATGATAATCAACTCTGAATAACTCAGCTTTCTCAGCAACACAGTGATCTAAGGCAAGTACAAAGGACTCATAAAGGAAAATGTTATCCATATCCAGATAAAGAATTGAAGAACTCTGAGTGGAGATCAAAGCACTTTTCCACTTTACTCTTTCAAGTGTTTTATTCTTCTTTTTATCTGTTTCTTCTTCCGCAACTGTGATGAATATAGAAATATGTTTTACATGATAGCATAGGTATACACTCTATCAAACCACCTCTCATTGTCAGAGGAGGGGAGGGAGGGACAAGAATTTGGAACTCAAAATAGTATAAAAATGAGTGCTAAAATTTTTCTTGATATGTAATTGTGGAAAAAATAAAATACTATTTAAAGCAAAAAAAAAAAAAATAACCAGAATGGAATGACTTGGTGCTTGCTTTGGCAGCACATATACTAAAATTGGAACAATACAGACAAGATTGGCATGGTCCCTGCACAAGGAATACATGCAAATTCTTAGAGTGTTCCATATTTTTAGAGGGGTTGGTAGGTTAAGAAATAGGAAGGCAAGGTGGCAAGTAGAAGTAAAGCAAAGGAATGAGGAGTGATAGAATAAATAGGGTGAGAAGGATAGTGAGGCAAAACAGGAAAGAGGAAAATACACAATAAGCAATTGTAGCATAGAATGTGAAAGGGATGAATTTACCCATAAAACAGAAAGCAGAAATGGATAGCAGGTTAAAAATGTTAATTCAACAATATGTTGCTTTCAGGAAACATTATAAAAATGAGAGATACACACAAAGATAAAATAAAGGGCAGGAATAGAATTTATCTAAAAAATTCAGGGGCAGTAATTAATCATAATCTCAGACAAAGTTAAAGTTAAAAGAGATTTACTCAAAAGAGAAAAATAGAAAAACGACATTGTCAGCAATATTATTCAATATTGTTTTAGACCATTTAAAATAAACAGTATAAAATACCTGAACATACACTTGCCAAAACAAACATAGAAATATATGAACATAAACCTAAAACACTTTTTATACAAATAAACTCAGATCTGAATAATTGAAATAGCATATATTGTTTATGGGTAGGTACATCCAATGTAAATTTTTAAATGACAATTCTACCTAACCAATTGATTTATTCAATGTCATCCCAATTACTAAAAAAAAATACTGAGTTCAAATAAATAATAACAAAGTTCATTTGGAAGAACAAAAATTCAGGAACTTCACAGAAACCAGGAGGGGGAAAAAGATGTGAAGGAAGTAGATTAAGCAGTATCAGACCTTAAATTATGTTATAAGGTACGAACATTGTTAAAGTATAAAATTGATAATCATGATTATTTTAAATGAAAATTTTTCTTGTATAAATAAAATCTACTTAGCCAAGAGTAGAAGTAATGCAGAAAATTGGCAAAAACAAAAACAAAACAAACAAACAAAAAATCTTTTACAATCTCTCAGATAGGATGTGCTTCATTCGGAATATTGCTGTGGTGTAGGAAATGATGAGCTGGTTGATTTAGAAAAACATGGAATTGGACTTATGAAGGTAGAATCTATCCACCTTCAGAGAAACAGATGACAGGTGGAATTACACATATGTGTGTAAGTGTAGATATGTGTATTCTTGTAGATATCTATTTACATGTACGTATGTTCAAACTTAATTGTAGCCTTCTTTAGAGTAGAAGGGGAGGGAGGTGAAAAATAAGATAAAAGTGCTCAGAGAACAAAAGAAAACCAACAAGAAAGCAAAGACAAAAGAAAAGCTGGCCAACTTTGAAAAAATATACTATATTATGGAAATGGTTGTTTCATTCCACAAATTAAAAATAAAATAAATGAAACATGGAAAAAATAATAAATGAAATCTCTGGATGATCTAACATAGTGATGCCTCATCAATCAATTGTAGAATCAATACAATTCATGCCTAATTATGTAACAATAATAAATAAAGGCTAGGTTAATCAAATTAAAGGAGTTTTTTCTGCCCTCTTGAAGCCTGGCATATTAAATTATTTAACAAAAATTTATCAACTGGCCACCTTGTGCTCAGAGCTTAGAATGAACATTCAAATAATTAAAAAAAAATCACAACTCAACAGGAGTATACATTCTAATAAGGGAGAGAATGCTTATTTAAGTATTTATATCATAAATGTAAATTGAATGAATAAAAATAAATAACTGCAAAAATCAAATCAAATGGGTCCCATCACTTCCTGGACAACAGATGGAGAAGAAATGGAAGTGGGGTCAGATTTTATACTCCTGGGCTCAAACATCACTGCAGATGGCAACTGCAGCCTTGAAATTAAAAGATGCTTGCTCTTTGGAAGGAAAGCTTTGGCAAATCTGGACAGCAAGCTAAAAAAGCAGAGATATCTCCTTGATGATAAAGTTCTATATAGCCAAAGATATGTTTTTTTTTTCCAGTAGCAATGTATGGCTGTGAGATTTGGACTATAAGGAAAGCTGAGTGCCCTGGAAAAAAATGTCTGAGAGTCCCTTGGACAGCTGGGAGATCGGATCAGTCAATGCTTTTTTAAAAATAGTATTTTATCTTGCCCAATTATATGTAAAAACAATTTTAACAGCCATTTAAAATTTTTTGAGTTCCAAATTCTATCCATCTTTTCCCTCCATCCTCCCTGAGATGGTAAGCTATCTGATATAGGTTATACATGTCCAGAAGAAAGGAAGGAAGGAAAGAAGGAAGAAAGCAAGGAAGGAAGGAAGGAAAAAGGAAGAAAAGAAAGAAAAAGGAAGTAGAAAGAGAAAAAAAAGAAAGAAAAAATAGTATGTTTCATTCTATGTTTAGATGACATCAGTTCTTTCTCTGGAGGCAGATAGCATTGTTCATCATGAGTCCTTTGGGCTAGTCTTAAATCATTGTATTGTTGAGAATAGCTAAGCCATTCAAAGTTTTTCATCATAAAATCTTGCTGTTACTATATAAATGTTTTCCTGGTTCTACTCACTTGACTTTGTATCAGTTCACGTAATCTTTCCATTTTTTTAAATCATTGTGCTTGTTATTTCTTATAGTACAATAATATCCCATTGCAATCATATACCACAGCTTGTTCAGCCATTCCCCAATTGATGGGCATCCCCTCAATTTCTTACTCTTAGCCATCACAAAAGGAGCTGTGATGAATATTTTTAGTACAAATAGGTTCTTTCCCTGACCCTTTTTAATCTCTTTGAGATACAGACCTACTAGTGTTATTGCTGGATCAACAGGTATAACCAGTTTCATAGCCCTTTGGACATAGTTGCAAATTACTCTCAGAATTATTGGACAAATCAGTCAATACCTAAATAAATTACTTCAGGATGTTGAAATATCTGATGATCAGATACTGAAGATGAAGCTTAAATAATTTGGCCACATAATGAGAAGATGGTACTCACTGGAAAAGACACTGATGTTGGGGCAGATTGAAGCCTAAAGGAAAAAGGGGATGGTAGAGGATGAGATGGATAGAAAGCGTCATGGAAACAATAAACATCAACTTGGACAAACTTTGAGAGATAGTGGAGGATAGAGTGGCCTGGCTTCCTGTGGTTTATGGGGTCACAGAAAGTCAGACACAACTGAACAACACCAAGTTAATTACAAAGTAGTTTGGGCAAGAAGACAATGATGGGGTGATTAAGAAGAGCTTTGTGCTGGAGGTCATGCTTAAACTGTCTAGAAAGGAGCATTCCTTTTGGCGGAAGTAAAGATATAGTACAGAGATGAGAGGAATGCCAAGTGTGAAAAACAGAGAAAAAGGAAGGAACAGGCACATGGAAAGTCAATGGTTGAAAAAATAGGGGGTTGGGAAGAACATAATTTCTTTTCTTTTAGTGGACTTAATTCCAAAATCCCACCTAACTCTTTGCAAAATGCTTCACTATATCCTTTCAACCTTATTTTCTCAGTTCTCTCTTTAATTTTGTCCCTTTGGCTAAATTATTTTTCTTATTCATATGTTCCCCTCCAAAACCATAGAAGATACTTGCCAAAGTCTAGTATTATCTGAAGATAAATGAAGGCTTAGTGTGCTTGTACTGAAGGAGCAGTCAAAGAGACTGATTCTTTCACCATATTTACTTACTGTCTGGTCCAAAGTAAACCTTAAATCTTTAGGAACTGGCAGTATCTTTTCTTTTAAAGTGACAGAGGTCTGTTTTTATAAGATAAAATTAGTGACTAAAATCTCTCAGTCAACAAAGTGAGTAATAATTTGTTAGAATTGACATTAGTTATATTTAGGAAAAAGTTTTAATCAGCGACATATCTGTATGATTGGTTCCTCCACACATGTAAGAGTTAGTAGCCAGGATAGATTGTTTTTCAGCATGAAAAAAGAATTGATGACTATTACCATGATTAAGTACACTCAGGAGCTTTAACCTTTTAAGGAAACATTTTTGAACTTATAAAATAATATTGTTGGAAAATATCAAGGCATTAAATGGAGTAAATAATTTGATTAAAATTACTTCTACTGCAATCAAAATACCATTATTAATTGAATTCATTTACTGGAATATACTGCCTGAAATTCAGGGCAGTGAAAAATATGACAATTTTTTGGAATGTTTTCATTTAAGGATTATCACCCAAATTGTAATATATTTAAAATAACATTCCTTTTCCTACATGATGTCCCACAGTAATACCTTTCTTGCATCATTGGAGTGTTTAAAGAACAATTTTCATGGATATTTAGATCCATAATACCTAATACTATATATTTTGAGAGAAATGGACTCTTTTGAAGGAGGAAAGACTTGTATGGACTGCTGCAGAGTGAAGAAAGCAGTACCAGAATGATATCCATTATGACCATAATTTTTTTATAAGCAAATGGAGAATTAGTTTGGGCATATACTGATCAATTTATTTCTCCCTTCACCTTCCTACACAGTATACAGACATTAAAAAAGTAGCTGGATTGTGATTAAATGTAAAGACCGATCTTGATCCTAGGAATTGTGATAAAATATATTTCCTTTCATTTGGTAAAGAGGGAGGGGACTACAATGAAATATCATAATATCTCACCTAACCTGTGCATTCTTGCCAGTGATGGAGCTGGGCATTTCTATACCTAAAATATAATGATACTAAGAAAAAGACAAAAAAGAATGTGAGGCTACCAGGTCATTTGGTTGCCCTCTAAATTCTGCTTGTAGAATTGTTTACATAGCTGACTGCATTAAGATAAAGGAACATTGATACTGCCTTGAGTGGCTAGGAAAATGTTAACTGATGGTAGAGAAAACAAAGGTTCTTAATTATCGTTTTGCTTCCAATATGTCAATTTGTTCAAGTCATAATAGTGCAGTGGAAAGAACTCTGAATGCAGTCATAGAACCCATGTTCAGTCCTTGAATAAGTCACTCACTGGGAATGGCATTTGCCTATTCTTGGCCTCAGTTTCCTCATCCACAAAATCATGGAATTAGAAAAAAGCACCTCTAAAGTCCCTTCCAGGTCTAAATAGGTGAGCCTGTAT